TCACATATACCCACCAGACAATGATGCAGGCGTGGCAGGACGAGGGGGAATGCCTGCAACCGCCAGAAACCGCTGTGCAGTCATGCAAGGGTTCAAATCTAAACCCTAAACCCTAAACCCTAAACCCTGACCCCCGATACCCTGACCCCCTATACCCTAAACCCTAAACCCGCAACCCTCAACCCTAACCCTTACATCCAAACAGCCAGGCAGTCCACAGCCAAGGGGGCCTCAACCCTAAACCCCACCGGGAGCCATAGTGACGTCATCATGGTGACTGCAGTGACTCAGAGGGCAGTGCAAGGTGGCTGGTTGCTACAGCCCACTGCTGCAGCAAGCACTGAGCATGTAGCTGCCAGAGGCATCTCACTCTTTTCAAGCATGACGTCATGTTGAGTGATGAGTAACCAAATGATGATGTCATCGCCAGTCACCCGTGACTAAAGGGTTACTATAGGTTGGCTGGATCCACCTCATTAGGGGCTGGCTGGTGCGGCTGGTGCCACAGTAGAACAGCAGGTGCCAAGTTTTGACGTGTGCACGGCTTGACCCAGCAAGATGTCACTTCAGTCAACCCTTGGTTATAGCGAACACTGTTAGAGCGAAACACCACGTACATCGAATGAATTTCAGGTCCCAATGCGTTTCAGTACATTTTGCCCCCGAATACAGGGAATTCAGAATTCGCGTACAGCGAACGGCGCCAGCCTGCCACCTTCACTTGCACCCGGGGCCCTGCTGCCGCGGCCGTGGGGCGTGCACGCCCGTGCCGTGCAGCTGCGGCGCCAGTGTTCCACACAACTAAGAGAACAGAATAGCACTTAGCATATGACTGTGCTTGTAAAGGGGACACATGTTTATGACATGTTTATGACACATAGAGCTACTGTAGGTGCGCTGCAGCACAACGCGCACGCAGCGCGCCGTCGCGCTGCTGGCGCTGGTGGCGGCGGCCGAGGAGGGCTCAGACACGCTCAGCAGCGGCAGCGGGAGCAAAAGCGAGGGCGAGGGCGAGGAGCCCGGGCCGGCGCACCTGGACTTTGCAGGGGCGCAGCAGGCGCTGCTGCAGCTGGCGGCCTGCGTGGTTGGGATTTTCTTAGAAACTGACGAGGTGGCAGTTGCGGGCGTGCAGGATCGGCTCGACCGCACGGCGGTGTGCGCGCTGCTGCGGCGCCGCCAGAGCAACATTCGCATGTTCTCCCGCCCAACCCCAGGCAATAGCAGCCGTCAAGGCCAGGGGCCTGTAATTTACTATTGACTGGACTTGGCGAGCGCCAGACCCTACAATTCACTATACTAATTCAGCAAAAAAAAACCACGTACTGTACAGCGAACAGAATCCGGACAAAAATGGGTTCACTATAACCAAGGGTTGACTGTTGTGCGGTGTTACTCGTGACACCTGGTCACGCGGTTGTGAGCTTGTGACGTCAGCATGCCTCCAAGGGGGTGAACCCACAAACCCTGTCCTGCCCAACTGGCCCTAGTTCTTGTGACTTGAGTACTGGTCAAGCTTGCAGTGGTGCTTGCCTACAGCCTGACAACAATGTGGGGCTTTGCAGCACATTTGCAAAAGCATCAACCTGTTACAATAGCTTGAAGATGTCTTCAAGGCCGCGCTTCAGGGCCGCCAGGTCTGTGGCTTGCCCCTCAGCTGAGTCAGTGTCGACTTGCTGCTGCAGGGGCAGCAGCCCCAGGCCCTGTTCCTGCTCTCCTGTTGTCACCAGTGCCAGTCCGAGCTCCTCCGCAATGTCCTGCAAGCGCGGCAGCTCCTGATCCGTGACAATGGTGGTCACAAGGCCGCCCGTAGTGGAGCCAATGCGACCAGCACGGCCAGCACGGTGCAAGTACTCCTTTGGATCGGCAGGCGGGCCAAGATTGTAGACGTGGCTCACGGCTGGCAGATCCAGGCCTCGGCTGGCAGAGGGGGTAGCCAACAGCAAAGAGGCCGCACGGTCCCTGTGGTGGTTGTGTGAGGTAAGCCATCAGTAAATTCACCTTCTCCAGTGGCTCTACCATAATGCATTGACCCTGGAATGCAGATTAATTGGTTTGTGGCATCATGCATGACATTTGTGGCAGCAACGTGCATATGATTGACGATGGAATGGAGGCAACGAATTGCACCTCATTTGCTGCAAACTGTGCAATCACGCCTCATGAGGTGTGGCCACTACACTTTGAACATCCCCACCTGAACGCATGCAGCGCCTTGACTGGCTCAGCCCCGCTAGGCAGCAGCACACTGAGCTGGTGCTCGCTCCACAGAGCTGTGCGAAGGGGGTCTGCCGCTGCGCGTGCCGCTGCGTCGCTTGCAGCAAACACAATCACCTGATAGTTGAGGTAAGGTTGAAGCGGCGACCTGGGGGGAACACACAGAAAACAGGTGCTACATATCCCACTTGCAAGCATACATGCCCCAAAAACACAGGATATGCACACTAGTCCCATCACGATGGGACTTGGTGGCTCCAGACACCTGGTTGAATTGCTTGCATTCAGCTGACTCAATCGTAGATCCACACGATCATAACATGCAGGCAAGGCTACAAGGCGTGCACACCAGCAGGTACGCATGCGCACACACCCACGCACAAGCAGGCACCCATGTGCGCGTGCATGCACACACAGAGACTCACCCGTGCCGGCTCCTCATCCTGCCCTGCCTGTGCCAGATCGCGCCGCAGCATCGACACAAGAGCAGCCAGTCGCCGTTGTGCATCTGTCACCACCAGCACGCGGTGCCGCAAGCCGCGTGGCACGCTGCCAGGGCTGCCCACGCGCACCACAACGGGCTCATATGTCCAGTGCCGCTTCACAGCCTCCTCCACCTCGGCATGGGTCACGGTGGCGCCCACAAGCACGATCTGCACCTTGTCGCCACTGGGGCCTGGCTGGCATGGTGGGGCGCCTGCGCTGCTGCTGACCTCAGCACCTCCAAGTTGGTTGCCTGCGCTGATGTCCTCGCTGCTTCTGGGAACACGACTGCTGCTGGTGCTGCTGCTGGTGCTGCTGCTTGTGCTGCTGCTGCTATTGTCTGCATCGCTGGTGACCGTGCCACTACTGCTTGTCATGGAGTTGGGCGTTGCTGACACCTCTGTCGGGCCCAGATGTGGGGGCTGCTGCTGCTGGCGATACTGGTCATGCCATTGCGGCCAGGGCACGCTCTGCCCAGGCTGCAAGTTGTTGCCATCAAGACCGTTAGCAACGATGAAGTCCAAGATGCCACGGAAGCTGCTGGGGTAGGCCCGCACCAACTGAATACGCGGTGATGGTGCACGACAAAGCAAGGTGGGAATGGCTGTAAGTTTCACAAGATACAACAACTTTGCAGCCCAGGTCCAACCGTAAAGTAGCACAGGCCAGTGCAGGACTCAACCCAAATGGGCCCAACCCAAACGACGAAGATCGTCTGTATGAAGCTACAAGGACTGTTTCCAGCGGTGTGCAGTTTTGAGATTGCAATGCTGCAACAGGCTGCACCACCGTGGCCAACTCCTGGCCGGGGCCCACCTCGTCCACCTCGTCTGCCACCAGAACTTTCAGGTCTGTAAGGTCGAGGTACGGCTGGTCGCAGGTTGCGGCATGCAGCACCTGGGGAGGAGTGCCCACCACCACATGAGCACCTGAGGTTGACGGGAGGATGTTGAGGAACGACACGCCAGTCTTAGGAGGCACCACAGCGCGGCCGGTGCCAGGCAAGCACAATGCTCCGGGGCCTGGGCAGGAAAGGCGATGTGCATCAAATCTGTCCTGGAGTTCAGCGGAGTTTTAGACAAGGAACGCAAAGCATGCTCGAGGTGAGTGTACAGTAACCTCAGCCGGGCAGCTTGCGCTGCTGAGCTGCCAGCCCAGCTGATCAAACACGACAATATCTGGCCAGCCAGCGCACGTCCCCCACACCTACCAGCCAGCCACTTTGGATCTTGCATGGCGGCATCCACGTCCTGATCCGTCAGCAGACCACGCACCTAGAGAGGAACGAGTCAGGTGTGTAGATGATGCATTAGGACTAGGATTAGGATTAAGAGTAGGATTGTTACAGCGTCCCGCGGTCGCCCGCTTCTGGAGCCATCCAGGCTCATGGGAATGAACAGTGAAGCATCAACGTTGTGTGACTGAAGTTCAGGTGGCTACCGTGCGCCGCTCCAAGCAGGCATGCACGAAGGCCCCCAGGCGATGATGGCATCCACATGTCGTGGGTGGTGAGCGAAGGACAGTGCCATTGCACCGTGCGGCCACAATTTAAACTTTGGAACCAAGACCCTAGCGGCACCACGACCACTGCCTATACCTTGATGGCCCTGGGACCAAAGTACGTGAACATGTTCGCGGGGTCCCCTGGCCGCTGGCTGCTGATGTTGCCGCCAAACATCTTGTACACCAGTAGCGCGACCTGGAGTGATGCAAACATTATGTGTGGAAAGAGGCGTGACCTGGAGTGATGCAAACATTATGTGTGGGAAGAGGCATAAAAAAAACAAACACAGGAAAGCAGCCGGGGCCGCGAAGGTGGTGGCCTTTGCGCAAGACACGCAGGACAACATCGGCGTGCTTGTTTTTTGACAAACCACAGATGAGGGTGGGGTTGAGGCTTGCTTGAAGTGGACATGCAGACGTGACACACCCGCACGCCACGCCACGCCTGGGGAGTCCCTCCCACCTGCGTGCCCAGCTCAAAGGTTGGCACCAGCACCAGCAGCTGCGGCCCATACATATCCTCGGGGTACACCTCAGGGGGGTAAACCAGGCGGGACAGAGCCGGAACCAGGAACGCCGCTGTCTTGCCAGAGCCTGTCTCAGACTGGATCACGGCGTCGCAGCCGCTCAGCACCACGGGCCCAGCACGTCGCTGCACCTCTGTGTTGGGCGAGCCATGCGGGTTCTGATGTGTTGATGTTGTGCTTTGATGGGCACAGCTGAAACATCAACTGCAAGGATAAACGCGCGCGCTTAGAACCTGCAGAGCAAGGTGCAGGCGCCTGCGCACCTGTGGGAAAGCGCAACCCCAGCCGCGCCGCGCGATCTGCAACCCAGTCCACAACGCCCATCGCCTGCCAGTCCAGTGTAGAGCTGCGGGGCCCACCCCCACCGTCGCTCGCCGCCAGTGTTTCCATGCGGTCGCGTATTGCTGCCGCAAGCACATAGTCCTCCGCTGCGATGGCGGTGGCGAGCGCCGTCTGCAGCTGGTTGGCATCCAGGCGCGACAGGTTCTCCGCCATGTGCGCATACGCAAACGCGCCGGCCTGCTCCTGCTGAGGGTCGGCCTCGCCCGCTGCAGCGCCTTCGCTGGGGCTAGTGGCCGAGGTGCGACACTGCCTGAGCGAGCGAGCGGGGCGAATGCGTGGTGCGCACCAGGTCACGCTGAGTGAGGAGCGCACGCATCAGCGAGCGAAGAGCGTAGCGGAAGAGACTTGGGATCGCTGCGCTCTGCATATCTGCACCTCGTATTTGGTAAGGCCTTCACAAGGCGCCATGAAGCGCGAACGGCCACGGGTGCAGTTGCGGTGCAGAACCGCCCGCGGAGCATGGAGGCCCCGCGTGGCACCGTCATGCGCATCATAGATGATGCCATGTGCAATTTTGGGAGGCTGAAAATGGGCTGGCCGTGTGCAGATCACACAGGTGCGGTCGCCTTGGCTGTACATGTAATGACAACGATGGGCCTACAAGGGTTTCGCACTCAATACAGTTGATTGAAATAGACAGCCAAAAGCGTGCCACAGGTCATCAATCTACGGTATGGTATGGAGCGCCTGGATTGTGGGGCAGGTGATGCCAGTGTTGATCAGGTGTTGATCAAGTCTACAGGACCGACCCGCCGCCACCTGTGCAAGGGCGCCCCAAGGCCGCACGCCACATAACCATGTTGAGCTGCAACATGCATGCGTAGCCAAGCCACCCCGTTCCAGCAGTCACACCCCCCACCCACCCAACACAAACAAAACGCTGACCTGCGGGGGTACGTCACAACCTCTTGTGACACTGCGTGGTCTTCAACACGAATGTGCAAGGAAGATGGTGGAGACAAAGCAATACCCATTGGTGATGCATGCACAGATGCCCTGGTGGGTTGCGCTGACACATGATACACCAACAGGGCAGGCCGGGGTGCGCGATGCATGCAGCAGGGTGCGACAGGTGAGTTCTGTACATCGACGTGATCCCAGGACTAGTGTTGCACACACGCCGCCCCAATAGCTGAAGGCTGCAATTTCAAAAACGTGTTACACAGCGAGAGGACAAGGGATAGACCATAAACGTTGAAGTTTGGTCACTTTGGATTGCGGTCCATAAACAGTTGACTTGCATTGACTTGCACAACACGCACTGCACCATTGCTCGGGTGGGCTGAGGTAACTTCAAGTTCACGCATATCCGCACTTGATGCCAGCGAGCATGCCGCACACCCACGGCAAAACATCACAGGGGACGCGCGAGCCAAACAAGCGCCTTTCAAGGCAACCCGGTACAAAACCCGATCATGCAGGTGCCGGCTTGTTGGCATCGGTCACGGCGGCAAAAACCGCCGCCGTAAGTGCAGCGACCGCAGACGCTGCATCATGCGCGTCAGGCTGGAGCGTGCCGGCACTGCGGCTAACACCGCTGCCACAGTCACCACTTGTGCGGCGCTCCGCCCCGCCCTTTCTAGGGGCGTCCGTCACAGCCGCCACAGCAGCGGCCGCGATTCTGGCCGCAGCAACGGCTGCCTCGTCCGCCTCTGGCTTGGGGTCAGCTGGGCCATAACGCGGCTTTGCTTCCTTGGCACCACGCCCTGCGCCGTTGCTGCGGCGCCCGCCCTCTTTGGCGCCCTCCTTGGCGCCCTCCTTGGCACCCTCCTTGCCTCCAAGGCCCATAGCCGCCAGCGCGGCAGCGGCCGCGGCTGCGCCTGCGTCATCGCTTTCATCAATGGTTGGGTCGCCCTTGCGCCTGCTGCCGCGCCGCCTGCCTGCACCATAGCCGTCTTCGTCATCGTCGCTTTTCGCAGCCTCCTTCGCAACGCCCTTGGCGACCCTGCCCTCGCCATGGCCGCCAGCCTTCACCGCCGCCTTGCCGCCTCCGTCCCTGGTTAGCCCCTTGGCGTCCCCCTTGGCGCCCACCTTGACAGCCGCCTGCTTGGCTGTCTTGGTGTCTGCATCGCCAGACACAGCGTTGCGGCTGCCCCCACCGCCCTTGTGGTCAGCGCGGGATGTGTCGCGGCCATCACGGCCCCCGCGTCCCTCACCCCGGCCGCCGGCACGGCCAGCTGCAACGCCTGAGCCCCTGCCGCTGGCGTCGCCACCGCGGTCGCCGCCCCGCCGCCTGTCCGGCTGCCCACCAATCACGTGGCCACGTTCCCACTTGCCCTGGGCCGTGAGGGTGATGGGGCCGTACGGCGACTTGCGCTCTGGCTCGGCGCCAAAATCGTCACCAAACGTGTCGCTCTGCTGGCCGGCCTGCCGCCGCACACTGCCCGTGGCCTCTTGTTGCCAGCCTCCCGCAACTGCACCACTACCCTGCTGCCACCCGCCGCCGGGCGGCTCCTGCTGCCAGTTGGCTGCCCCGCGGCCGCCTGGGGGAGGCGCGCCGCGTCCGCCGGCGCCGCGGGTCCCGTCACCCTGGTTTCCATCCCCGCGGCCGCCATCGCCACGGCCGCCTCCGCCGCGGCCGCTGCCTCCCCTGCCGCCGCCAGCACCCCAGTTGTCGCCTGGCGGGGGCCCCAAGGAGCTGCGTGCGGCGACGGGGGCCCAGTCTGCCCCACCCGCATGGGGCGACTCGCCCCAGCCGGAGTCGTCAACCATGTCGGCCCAAAGAGCGTTGGAGGGGGCACGTTGCGCTTTGACGTTGGCAGGAGGCCACACACCAGAGCCCTGGGACTGCACGCGCTGCGCTGCACCCCCCCACTCGCCAGAGGCCCCTTGCTGTGGTGGCTGGGGTGCCTGGCTGCGCTGCTGCTGCGCGCCAGCACCGGCCGCGTCTCGTGCTCCTGCAGCCGGTGCCCCTCCCGCGTCGCCCCTCTCCTCCGCCTTCAGCTCATCCAGCACAAACTCCAGCTGCGTCCAGTACAGCCCCACGCGGCGGATGCGCAGCTCCTTGCCAAACCAGTCCGCCCTGGGGAAATGGGTGCAGGTTGGGGACGTTCACGCAAGCGGCATGCGTCAAGTGAAAAGGCAGAGACAGGCAAAGGGGCCGCGCGCGGCGGGTACTGCTACCATGTTGCGCTGCCAGGCCAGGGCAAGTGTGCCTAGGCTGCTGGACAACGTGCGGCGCTGTCAAGGCACGGCTAACAAGCAGTGCTAGATGCACATCCCCGCCGCAGCCTCAATTGACTACACCTTCAGCTTCACCCTGATTGTTGCGCAGCGCCTTCTCACGCCCGGCCCTGCACCAACCCCTGCTTCTGGCCCCCCACCTGAACCACCGCATGACCTGGGATGCGGTGAACGGGCCGTGCACGTCGCCCTCGGGATCCATGTACTCCCACGCCTTGGAGCCAGCAGCACCTGCACCCTGACTCTTGGGCGCAGGAAATCCCGGAGCTGGAGGCGTCGCCTGCTGCCCATAGCCTTCGCTGCTGCCACCTGCATTGCCGCCGCCCGCAAAGGGCGTCGCTCCAACCGCAGCCGCACTGTACCTGCTGCCAGCGCGAGCGGCCTGGGCAGGGCCTGCGGTGGTCGTGGCACTCCCATAGGATGCTGCGGCGGGCTGTGCGCTGGCGTAGGTCGGCTGTCCGGCATACCCACTAGACCCAAGCGGTGTGGCAGCGGCATAGGCACCAGGCGGGGCAACCCCGCCGCCATAACCCCCCGACGGCTGAGCACCAGCGGAGGCCCCGCTGCCGCCGTACGCCGGAGGGGGGGCCTGCTGCACCTGATAGCCGCCCTGACGCTGGGGCGGCGGCACGGTGCCACCGTAGCCCCCGCCCTGCTGTGGCGCAGCACTGCGGCCGTGGCCGCCCTGCAAGCCCTGCGGTCCATCACTGTGACCCCCGCTCTGCTGGACCACACCTCCCGCATGGCCGCCTTGTGGCTGCGGGGGCTGGCGGTTTTGCGGCAGCTGGTAGGCGGCACCTGCGCCGTAGGCGCGCTCCTGCTGCGGCGCCACCTGATGGGCCGCCTGTTGGGGCTGCTGCTGCTGCTGCTGCTGCTGCTGCTGCCCTTGCCCCCAGTACCTTTGAGACATCGCGTTGGATCCCCTGTACGGGCGGTGGCGATTTTGGATCCTTCCTCGCAACCCAGATCGCTGATTAGATCGTCGCAATCGGGGCAAAGCGTCCTGTATCGAGCAGCTGTCCCTTGTTACCTGGTGATCGCAGCTGTCTGGCGTTCAGCGCTCCTTCAGGGCCGTGCGGCGCAGCGAATGGCTGGCCTGAGACCGATAGAATACGGTAGTGAGCGGCAGGTCACAGGTCCTCAGCGCCGCAATAATGCCAATATAGTTGTAATTGGTGTGCGCTGTGCCACGCAGCGGTGCTCTGTTGCCATCCTTGATTTGCCGAGGCGGTGGGGGGGTGTGAAATGGGCCAAGCTGGCGCCCAGGTTCCGCCCACGCTGACTCGAGACTTTGTAACCCATTCCTCAGCAATTGTTCACAAAACAGGTTTCATAGGTGCATTTTTGGCATTCTCCTTGATTCAACTTTACACGTTGCACCGCTGCGCCTGGCAGTCCTGACGCTGCCGATGCAAGCAAGGGCAGGCCGCTGTTGTTGGGACGGGCGCCGGTGCCCAATACGTGTCGGGGTTGACGGGTCCTTGAAGTCTCACAAATATCTGGTACACATTTACCTATTCACCCCTGCTGTGCTGTTGTGCACCTTGCAACTGTGTCTCACAGCACCTATTCTTGCAACGGCCGGCCTGCGGCCTACCTGCCATGCAGGATAATCGGTGTGTTGAGGGGTACCGGTGGAATGGACTCCAGTGGAGGGGAGGCTGCTGCTACAGCTGACTAGCCAAAAAGCCGAGGCCGCCGATGTTTTACAGCGGCAAAGAAAAAAGAACGCTCGCCGCGGCAAAGCCGCGGCGGCCCACTGCAGCCAAAGCGCCCTGCCCCACAACCCCCTTTGAAAACTGGTGCAAACCGCGCGCGCTGCCAAAGGCCGGCGAGAAAGTGGTGTAAGGTGGGCGGCCTTCGCGGCCGCCCGGCGCACGGGCCCTCAAAGCGCTACGCGCCTGGGTGACGCCCAGCGCACCTGTGTTTGTCAGCAGGTGGGCAAATTTATTGGGCCGGGTAGCTGACTAAACACCACTTGTGCTGCCAAGCACAAGGAAACGAAACTGGAGGGTGGCTGCTGCCACCCCAGAAGAGCCAACGGCGAAGGGCAGCTGGTGGGGCACCAGCTGCCTGGCAGGTGCTGCTCGGGTTGCCTGCTCTCCGAGCAGCACCGTGGCCTTGGCTGCTAGCCAGCTGCCGCAGCAGCAACGCCTTCGGCGCCCCTCCTCTGAAGCCTAGCCACTGCACTAACCTTCGGAACGTGCAGTGCCTCCACTACGAACGGGGATACCCCAATCGCTTGAAGCATCATGCTGCTTGCCACATCTGCTGGGTGTGGCTCTCATGGTGATTGGCCACTCCAGGCACCTACAAGGTGACAAAATTCTCGTTGCTGCTTACATGTCACAACAGGGGTGACAAATTTACATGGTAGTTGGCGTGATACTCAAGCTGTACCGCGACGTCGAACGCGCGGCTCTGCGCCACCGCTCAATGAAACCATGTCAAAGGCAAGAGCTCTCGCGACTTGCAGGTGATGCTAACAGCCAGTGGAGCCCATGTGATGTGTACGTTTTTGCAGTGCCACTTTTGTTAGCATGACGTGGTTTCAACACACCCTCACCACGCACGCCTGGAGGCAGGCAGATACGCGCTGTGCGCACGTATGCGGGTGCCAAACGCGGGGAGGGCCATCCTTTTGGATGACCAGGTGTCCACAGGATACTCCACATTATGTAAACGCGCCCATACATGCATACAGTAACACGGCACGAGCTGTCTGTTCAGCAGGGTGAGCGCAGCCTGGTGGCATTTCAGGTTGTACGTACGAGCGCGGGATGCAGAAGCGCAGGAGGCATACAGAGACGAGGGCAGCAGCCAGACGTCAATCGCGTGTGGGGGTGTTTTTCTGAAATATTGGAAGCTGTGTATGTGTGCCAGGTGGTTGTGGGTTTATCGGCCCAGGATGCGGGGTGCGCATGCAAGCTGTCGAAGCAAAGCGGCCTTGTCTTAAGTCGAATGATCGGCCCTTTACCCGCCAAAGTCAAAGTGAACACAAACAATCTTTGTCTATGGGCAGACGTCCGCCATGGATGCTGGACTCCGGGTGCTGCTGCTGCTGAGCTGCTGTGGACTGGCCACCCCAAATTAAGCCTGCTGATAAGGCAAACGTGCCTGGGTGCACGTGCAGTAGGTCGCAAATGAGATGGGTGGTGCGCGTATCAGCACAATTGGGCTCAAAACTTTCGCATTGCATAAGTCCACCGAGCCATTGCTTTTCTTTGCCAGAAGGTCAAAAACATGCCTGCCTGGTCAGAAGCAAGGTCTATGATACCGTAGCTGCACCAATGGTGATGCGGATAGCTCAGTGCAAGCATGAATCAATCATAGTAGATATCTTATGCAGCTTTCGTATCTGTATCATATACCATCCTGGCCTAGAATCAACGATAGAACGCAACATGGTTGGACCACGCTGCGGAGATCAGCATTTTGTCGCGGTACAGTAGTTTGATTTCTGTGACGATAATTGGATGAAGAAGAGGGTTGTGCCAACGGACTCCTATCCTGAGGTGGCGGCGCTTGGCCAGGCAAGGCCGGGCCTGTTGCTGCGGCAGGACGATGCAGCAAAGCAGCAGGGTCAAGTGCTGCGTGGCGCATGTGCTGCTGGCATGATGCGTGTACCGCTGGGATCCCCTCAGGTGGTCATCCTTGTACTGGGTAATCCTTCCTCATCACGAGAGCCCAAACATGCCCAACACGTAGCCTCTTCCGAGGGATGTCGCACTGGCGGCAGCAGCTGTGCTGCCATCACGCCGGCGCATTTCGCGGAGCGAGGACGGCAAGGGTTTGCGGCCTGGTGCGGGCCGCTCCGTTGAGAACTTTATCCCCCTGCGGTGAGGAATCGCGGGCTCTGGCGCGCTCTTGACAGCTGCATCCAGCATCATCCCCCCTGCTTCGACCTCGCAAACATTACTATGCCCAGGCCCCTCGTCTCCCCCTCCCTCCCCCCGCCTGCCTTGCCTGCCCCGTGATGCAACCCTGCATTCCCACCCTTCACCACCTGCCACACTTATGCGCAGCTACCCTGACCTGCGTGACCGGCTGGTAGAGGCTCACCCCACCCTGTTTCAGGATGCAGCTGTGCGCATGTCGTTCTACTACCTCGCGGAGCACCTGTCATTGCGCAACACGCTGAGGTAAGCAATGTACAGGACGGCATGATGGAACATGCCAGCACCACAGGCACAGGCAGAGTGCCCGAGGCAGAAAAACGCACTGCGTTCTCCCGGCCAGCCCGTGACACAAACATGTGATGCTGCTCAGTGACCGGTCAGCTCGACCCTGCTGATCCTTACTCAATTCAACAGCTGCCAACCTCGTCCCTTCATGCGCGCAAGGCTGACGCAAGCGTTCCGGCCTCTGGCCGAGCGCTACGCCTTTCTTGACCCGGACGTCACTGGTGACGGCGCAGCCCTGGACCTCACAGGCACAGGGTTGTCAAGGTGACTTCAAGGGTGACAGCATTCGCAGGGAGCGGACCACGTGACTTGTGAACAGGCAGGCCAAGTATTCTGGGTGACCTGTGAGGTAACACAAGCTGAGATACAACGTCAGGCAGTGGCTGTGTGCAAGGCGCCCTTCCGCTCTTGGTCATGATGCCAAGCGCACACATATGCCGTCGCTTCCCCGCCCCCCTCGGGCCCCCCCTCCCGCACCCGGCCTGGTAGTGATGCGCGCGCCATCCTGGCGGAGGAGTTTGAGGCGGGGATGACACAACTGCTTCTTAAAGGCGGTTTTGAGGAGGTGGGAGGTGGTGCAGAGACCTGCAGTGCGAGTGCACCGGGGCGCATGTCCCAACGCTGCTCATAGAATGGTCTACGCAGGGCTGCACAGCATGTGTGTATGCATTTGTGGGCATCTCTCCCCTGTCTCCTGATGCATGCGCATGCGCACGCATGTGCCTTTGCATGCACGCAGACGTACACACGTTTCAGCACGAATGCTGCTCTGCCGTCTTTGTCCACAGTTTGAGGAAGTTCAGCTGAAGGAGGCCCTCAACACCGTGGGTGTCAGCAACGGCCTGGCTGTGCGGCCGCCTGACCCGGCTTCAGTGCAATTCAAGATATTTGTGCGCGGCATGCGCATGCAAGAGGTGCGCAACCCCTTGACAGCTCGCGGTAGCACAGCTCTTACACCATGGCTTGTCATAAGCAACTCCCCTTGTCATGCAAATTTGGTTGTGTCTTGGAATTGTGCACATGTTCCACCCCTGATCTGGCCCGATCACCCACCTTGTGCACCTATTAATAGGTGCAGTACCGGTCTTGGCGGACACTGTTCCTCGCACGCACAGCATGCGTGCCAGTGTTCGAGCGGCTGGCCATTGTTTTCCGTGCGCGCAGCACTATGGACGCCCTGACACCGAGCAGCGATGATGCCGGCGCCAGCTGGTTCAAGCGCACTTTCATGTATCCCCTGCAGTTTCGGGTAATCAAGGTGTGTCCTCATGTGTCTTCAGGGGCGCGGCTGCTTTTCTTTCCAAGCAACGGTTCAAAGCAAAACAAGCGCAGCATGCCTGGACTGCAAGCTCAACCAGACGTGGCTGGCCAGCAAAGGGTCCGCCACTGCCATCCCCCACTCCTCGCTCCCAGGTGGCTGAGGCGAGCCTTTTGCCCAATCGGCTTCACATAAAGCTTTTCAGGGTGCGTCGACCGCACCCAGCCACTTGCGTTTGTAAAACAGACGTGCCACAAAAGCAACAGTTGGACATCAGAACGAGATTTGGCAAAGGCAGCTGTGACTATGGTCTTCGTACAGGGGTTTAGGGTTTCTAGCTTCATCTATCGACCACCCATTTAGCTCCATCTATCGACCACCCAGCAACACCCCACATGTTGCATGGCCTGCCCCTGCTCACGGTGCTCTTACGCCTCCACCTCATCAGGACATTGAGGTATCGGACGTTGACATGCTGCTGCCAGGTGGGTGTGCACCCGTTTTCATCTTGACAGCATTTTTCATGGCCGGCTGGAGGCTAAGTGAGCATTAGCCCTGCCCCCACGTCTGAAGACTAGTGTTGCATTATGGAAATAAGAAAACCTTCACCAAAAGCCTATTGCCATTCTAGATTTGGATATCCACCTCCTGGGGCAACTTCCTACCTGCGGCATGCAGGCAGCGTGGCCAAGTTCTCCTGGTGGGACTGGCTCCTCATCGCGGCCCCGATTCTACTTGGACTGGTTTCGGCCGTCACCAAGGCTGTACATGGCTCTCTCAATTTTGACACGCTTCAAAACATCATCAGCAGTGTGATGCTGGTCATCCTGCCAGGCACGGTGAGCCGGTGCCTGCAGGGTGGCCAGTGTCATCAGGCGTACGTACCGCCCTGCCCAGTATTGTGGCTATACGATTGACTTGCATGGCCATACTTGTATGTCATCATGATGGCCGTTTGGAAACATAACCAGCACGCACGGCTGCTTTCACCGCTTGCCTCAGGAGTCCTGCTTTGCGCGCCAGCGGACGCCTTGACTATGCTTGCCAATCTTCCGCCCATCCGTCCTTGCAGTGGGCCTTGCGTGCCTACTTGGCTGTGGCTGAGAAGCAGCAAGTGTACACGGCTCATCTGAACAAAGTCATTCTGTTGGTGCGCACCACGGGACGGGGCGTGACAGGAGAATGTGTTGGCTTTCTTATGAATGCTAGTGTCACTTACATATGGGACCGGCCTTTCCATCAGCCCGCCGTGTGTGGAGGATCTTACACTCACTGGTGCATCTTTCCTGTGCCTCATGTCAAACTGAGTAGCATAACCTCAACAACAACAGCGGGGTCATCAGCCAAAGCCTGGAGGAGGCAAGAGAGCAGGTGCGGTGGTAGAAAGCATCCTGCATAATGATGCACTCAAGAATGAACAGTAAATGGTACTTATTTGCACGGTGGGCGAGCTGCTGTGTGTGGCATAGCATCAGGTGGTGCTTAGGGCGTGGCCACTCACATCCCTGCTCAACACACAATGGCAGGAGGACGTGGAAGCGCTTCTGGCCTACTTCTTCTTGTGGCGCGGGCAGCTCAGCCCCCTACCCATGCAGCAGCAGGACCTTGACCGCGCTGTAGAGACCTGGGTCAACCGACTTGTGAGGGGTGCGCACGATGTTGATGCGGAGCCAAAACACAGCTCCAGCGCCAGTCAAGGAACAGGCATGATTCATCAGAGACACCCAGATTCGCAGTGTTGGAGGCAGCAAGAACAAATGTACATTGATTTTCAGGTGAGATATTGGGTCTTGTGCATGATATATATGCAAGATGCTGTCGCTTCTAATTTACTGCGACCAAGGATTTGTCCAGCTGCGAGCAGCTTTATTGCTTAGGATCAATCTTGCTCATTCATGCGCAAATCTTCCTGCTCCGCAGGTTCATGATGCTGTTGAGAAGTTGGTGGCACTGGGCATCGTCAAGGAGACAATAGATCCCTCCAGTGGCGCCCACTGCCTCACGGCCAGCAGCCTGGACGAGGCGCTTGCAGCGGCACAAGTGGGCAATGTCTCCACGTGGCCGCTGCCGCGCACTGCCGTTGGCAGCGCGCGGCAAGGCCTGAGGGACGGCCACATCAGCGAGGCCTTGGGTAAGGGCACAGTAGCGGCAGATGGGGTGGCAGAGGGGCTGCACCCAGCCATTGGAGGGCTGTACTTGTCCCCTGTGGCGTCAGCAAAGCAAGCAGCAGCGAATCGGGCGGCGGCCGCAGCAACAGTACCCAGGTGTGGCTCCGGCACGCCCTCTAGCAGCAACACCGGGTGTCAAAGAGGCAATGAGAAACATCTGCTGGTATTGCATGCGGTGGCAGGGTGGGACTCTGCGCAGGGTGGTGAAGGTCTGGCGGTGCAGCGCGAGGGTGCAACCCTTGCAAAAGAGCTGGCCGGCTACGTAACAACACAAGTTGGTGGCTTTTGATAGTCATTCTTGATGGACATGCGTCGCCATGCCAGGAGCTTGTGGCATCTCAAGGTGTGTGCATCATGCATCTGTTTATGGCTGTTTGTATCAGCAAAGGGCACAACCCCAGGCACTGATGTTGTGATTTTTGTGTGACATCTTAGTGATATATGAATGCCCATTTGTAAAACAGATCCAATTACAGTATTCTCACGTATTACAGGAACATCTCAGCCGCGCTGCTCTTGAAAGGGGGACTCACAGCCATGAATACTAGTTGAGTCACAGGACGTCACAGAGGTATGCATGCTAGGTGGCATGCAGAACGTGTGCAAGCAGTGGCAGCCAGCAACCCAGGAGTAATGCTGCAGAAATGCCTGGGTGAACGGACTATGCATCCCCTTTATACTTGGCCAGAATAAGAGCAGCCATTCAACCTGGCGCTTGCAAAAGGGGCAACCCAGCTGCAGCATACAAAACACAACACAGAGTAATGTTCGATGCGCGCGCGCAAAATGCAGCGGATGAGATTGAGCAGCAGACCCAGATGCTTGACGTCAACCAGCCTGGAGTACCGCAGGTACCTGCCTGTTTTTGGTACATATTCACGGTAATATGGCCCCATAGATCACCCAGACAACAACCTGAAAAGTGCTTGGCATCAACGTGCAGCAGCAGCCAGCAGGGTGTCACACTCTTGAAACCCCCACAGGCCGCGCATGGTAGCGATCCAACGTTCCTTACCCTGATTGCCCATCCATCCTGCCAGGGCCCCTGGCACCAGGCACTGCTGCCCCTAGCGCAGCTGCCTGCCCCAAGGCCCAGCGCCCATGTGCAGAGGTGGTGATAGGTGTCGGCCAGGCAACCGAAGGCGTTTGCTGCGGCCACCCAAGCGATGGGGCCCCGATCGAAGGCAGGGAGGCCTGCACATCTGCCTGCTGCGACGGCAGCCTTGACAAGGGTGCCGTCTCACTGCGCGGCGCAGTGTGCCTTGGAGGGGCTCCATGGAATGCTGTTCCACGTCGTGACTCATTAACGGGAGCCGACGGTGGCCTGAGGGACGGCAGACCGACTGCAACTCTCCCAGCAGCTGAGACTGGACCTGCGCCACGCTCCACTTCCACCGCTCCGGCAGGTGGCGCCTGGAATAGAGGTAGGATGGCCAAGCGCTGGTGGGGGCTATGCGCCCCACGCTCGTCCTCCTCAACCACGACACCGTCGTTGATGAACACCAGGGGGCTGCCAGGAGGGCGACCCTGGTGAAGACTTTCGCCTGCCATTGGCGAGGTGTTGGCAACCTCTGTGCCCTCGCCTTCTCCCTGACCCTCCCCTTCCACCATCAGAAACTCGCCGCCTGGGCCCAGGACTACTGCCACGACTGGGACCTCTACTCCGCCGTCATCGTTGTCGCCGCCCCATGGGTCCGAGCCTGAAGACGCCCGGCTGCCACGCGGCGGCCGCGACGCTGCACCGACGACAACGGCAGGTGCGCGTGCCGCCGCGTCACTGAGGCTGGCACACAGCTGCTCGCCACCCATTGCAGTGCCTGCGATGCTGGAGTAGGGCGGCGGCTGCAGCCGTGCAGGCAGAGACTGGATGCGGTGGTGGGGCAGCATGCGTGGCTGTGGCAATGCTGCATTTGCAATGGCCGCCTCCGTTGCCGCCTTTTGCTGGTACGTCCTTAAAGCCTGCGCATTGTCCTCCCTATCCGCTGCCTCAGAAACCGGCCAAAAGGCGAGAGAACCTATGGTGCTGGCTCCAGCAGTACCAGGGCCCTGGGTGGCCACGCTGTCAAGGCTGTGGCCCGCACCATCGCCACTGGCACTGCCAAGGGGTGGAGGTGCCGCCTGCTGAGCAGCCACAAGTTCAGTTCGTTGCCGCACGCCCAAGTGGCCGGAGGCAAAGCTGTCACCGCCATCCCCTGCGGCCAGGGACCGTACGCCATGTAGCCCGTCATGGTGTGTGACGATGCCCGCTGGGAAGCCCGCAGGGCCGTCTCCAGGGACAAATGCGCCGATCGTGCCTGGTTGCTCTGCCAGCAGCCGGCGCAGAGCTGCACCCATTGGCCAGCCACGCGACCCAAGCTCTTGGTGAGTCGGCCACTGCCAGGCGGCACCTGCAGGCTCAACAAGATGCTGCCCAGCAGGAGGCCCAAACGCCAGCGGCGGCTGCCCGTGGCTGTAGGCGTCATAATGTGCCCAACCAAAGTCCTCCCAACCATTTGCAAAGGGTTGAAGAAGCGCCTCATGGCCCCAGCCTACTTGCGCTGCACCTGACTGCTGCTGCTGCTGCTGCTGCTGCTGCTGCTGCTGCTGCTGCTGCTGCTGCTGCTGCTGCTGCTGCTGCTGCTGCTGCTGCTGCTGCTGCTGCTGCTGCTGCTGCTGCTGCTGCTGCTGCCCTGCAGTCAGCAGCGCTGAGGTGTGGCTGCAGCCCCCTACGGGGCTTGACACCGTCCGCCAGGGTCCTGCGCCGCTGAAAATCGCCCTGCCGTTGCTGGGTGCCAATCCCTGCCCCGCGGCTGGCATCTGCAGGGGCGATGCCCCAGCAACAACCAATGAGGCAGATGGCTCTGACCGCGAGCGCGGCAGCGAGCTGCAGCGAGCAGCTGCCGCTGCCACAGCAGCAGCAGCAGCAGCAGCAGCAGCAGAGCTGCCTCCTGAGGGCTGCCGCGTCCCCCCGTGCTGCTGGAAGGCACCCTTGTCGACAGGCTGCCCTTGGCCGCCAGCCACGCCGTTGTTGCCGCTGCCGTGCTGGGCCAGCAGTGCGAGGCGGCTCTCTGTGGGCAGGCGTGGCAGGGCACGCAGGCGGCAAACGAAGTCTTCTTGAGCAAGCAGAGCGGGGCTGGAGAAATAACACATGGGTCACGGGCCGAGACAGTGCACTATTGTCAGGAAGCTGTAAATTGACGACAAAGCATGTCCACAGACATATCCATGTCATTCTGTGGTGCCCGACCTCTCCCCAGGGCTTACCATTGTCCAGGAGGTCGGCGTAGTGGGTGATGGGAAAGTTGATGATGGCACCCAGCCCCTTGATCTCAACAGCAGCTCGGTCGTAAGCCACAGCAGCCTGCTGTTCCGTGTCGAACAGGCCCAAATACCTTGTGGCAATGAGGAGTCCACGGGGAGGGAGGCGGCAAGTTACGGTACAAGGTGGTGTTCATGGTGGTATCCGCTTGAGGCTCTGAAACAGCAGCCTGTGTTCAGGCGTGGCGCATCAATCAGGCTCCAGGAACAGACCTCTGTAGCAAACAGACATTTATGTTATGGCGGTGCAAATGGTTTTAAAAGCCCAGCGGTCGTCATCACAAACGTGATGGCCACAACTAACCTGTAGCGGCGCTTCCCATCGACGGGGGACAGTCCAATCCGCGCCTCCCAGCGGCCCTTTGCGTGGCGGCTCACGCCGCGATAGGCGCTGCTGGCGCTGCTAGCGGTACCCTGGGGGGCAGCGCTGCGGCTGATGCGGCGGAGGAACTGGATCAGCTCCTCGCGACCGACCTAGCAGTGCAGGTGCAGAGTAAAACAGAAGCGGCGGAAGGGCGATTTTGAGAAGGAAGCACTTGAATGCAGCGAGGCCACCCATTGTTCAACATGCACTTGCTTTGTTTAAGATTTAGGGTGCAGGCGCCCACATTCACCGGAGTACCTTAATCCACTGCCTCTGCCAACCAGCTCCGCACACCTTGTCGCGGCCGGCCATCTCGCCCTGGTAGGCAGCCAGAGGAAAATTTGTTTGCGCCTCGGACGCTCGGAACTTGACAGCGGCCACATCATAGGCCCTGGAAGGTGCGACGGGGAGGGGAGGGGAAGATGAGAATGGTGTTGCGGCTGCCTTCAGCAAGCGTCCCCACCCAACCAGCCAGAATCGGACGTGTCACTGCAATCGCGCCTGGTGCACACTGCCTGAAAGAGCATGCCCAGCTTACAGCGCGGCCTGCTCCTCTGAGTCATATCCTCCCAGGTAGACTGCGCCGGAGGACCGGGAATGGAGACCGTGTGGGCAGGGCATGTAAGGGAGCGTGCACAAGGGACCGGATGAAGAGAAAACCACAGGCCCGCCAGAACAGGGCTTTGCGCTGACCAAGCACAGCACGAGACAGATCAGCAAGTAAATGCAGACAAATACATACACAGTCACCCACCCTGCTTGCCCTCAAGCCACACATGACTCTCCCATCGGCCGGTGCGGACGTGGTGCGTGACGCCCCGAAACCTGCGCGCAGCGGGATGAGCGGGGTGCACGGCTGGTGGACAGGCCCCCTAAGCGGGGGGCTGAGGATTGAGGGGCATGCTATGCGTGCAGTGCGTGCATAGAGTGGCAAGTGCTGACGCCCTGGATGGCTGGCCACTTGCTGACCTGGACGTGTTGCGCCCACCGCGCTCCTCCAGAGCCCGCCGTGCGGTGGCAGCGCGGTCCCTGTTAAAAGGGGGTGAAAGCGACGACAATCTATCTTCTTTTCAAGCACGACGCTCTTGTGTCAGGTGCAGGCATATGACAGCAGAATGACATCAAGCGTGCAAAAAAATCATCATGCATGTCAAGGATTTGAGATGGCATAAGTCTGTGAAACCTCACCGCCTTGCCGGCCCCACATCCCCGCCGCTGCTGGCCACCACCTCAGCCATCTCCATCATCAGTGCGGCGCGGTCTGCACTGACGGTGAAAGCTGGGAAGGTACCAGCGCTCGCCAGCAGGGGGGAAAGCAGGGCTGTGAGCTCCTGCTGGCCTGCGCTTGGAGCCTGCACCTCTCTCGCGGCTGCAGACGCATCGCCCACCGCCGGGGCGGCGGCATCCGCCGACGTGCCCCGCTGGCTGGGCGCCGAGCGCCGGCCCCGCGTCTTCCGCCGCACAGGCCCTGCGTCTAGCAGCTGCCCCTTCGCGCGATCCTCCCCACCACTGCTATCCCTCTCCCCGTCCCCGTCTCCATTGCCCTTGTTTTGATCAAGCTCCTGGCGGTTAGCCCAGCTGGGGCCCTGCCGCTTTTGTGAATGCAGATTCCTATCGCCTGCCTCTGCAGGCAAGGCCTGCTGCTGCTGCTGCTGCTGCTGCTGCTGCTGCTGCTGCTGCTGCTGCTGCTGCTGCTGCTGCTGCTGCTGCTGCTGCAAAATCTGTGACGGCGGGTCCTCCTGCAGGGACGACGGCCGGGACGGCAGCTGCTGGCCGTGTTGCTGCTGCTGCTCTTGGTCGCTGGCAGCCGAGCGCCGCTGTCGAGGCAGCAGCGGTCCTGCTCCGGCCTGGCTTGTACTGTGCTGTGTCTGCAAGGCAGGAGACCTCCTGGCGCGCGCCGGCCTGGTGGTTACAACCCTGCTGGCCCCATGGACGTGTTTGGGCGGCGCCTCCCAATCCATTCCAGCATCACCGCCGCCGTCTTCGCTGTCATCAGCGTCCCTTCGCTTTCCTGGGGCCATCTTGGGTGGCATTCGGGCCTGTCAGGTTACCATTGAGCGTGAGATGCGAGAGCCACGGTCAGCCCCTTGCCTCGGGAGCACGCCAGGTAAGGGCAGGTCGCTTGACGGCCCGCCAGCACTTCGAGCCCGGTACAGCACCTGAAATTATTGGAAGCTTGTTGAGCGTCCCGTATCCTTAACCGGATCTGCGTCACTGGGGGCCAAACCCACAAGTCGGCACAGCAGGGGGAAGTTCGAGGCAAGATCGACGATAATCCCTCATATCGGGCGCCCGAGCATCTGCATGGGGTGGTACAGACCGCTTTCAGATATCTGCATCAACGGCAACGCCAGTGAACATGGGCAGACCGCAGGAAGCTGATGGGTGTACCCTCCGAGGCACCATCATAAAAAAAGGCCTTGCACACATCAATGCGCACACACGCCGACCAAGCAGTGCGTATAGACAGACGGCACAGTGATATGATTTGAACTTAATGCCGCCCAGGCATCCACACGTGCAGGTCTTGCAATAGCCACACCTCTAAAGGGTCATTTCGAAGTGAACACACCTTAGGGTCGCCGTCACTAACGCACCCCCCCTCCTTCGTTGCAAAAATCGGTGAGCTGGCCTCATGAGCTTGCCCCAGCTCGGCTGTTGGATCTTTCTTTGAAGGCTGTACAGTGCTCCCTCGCTACAGCGAACCCCGCCATAGCGAAAACCCTGCCTACAGCGAACGCCGCCGCTACCCCCGATCGCTCGCCACACAAATTCACCCCGCCACAGCGAA